TCAACTCAACATTCAGACTCACAGGACAACCACAGGCTGAAAGGGTTTCAATCAGAAAAACAGTTTGCCACCAGAGCAGGGCTAGGTGTCCCTCTTCAGCAGGTGTACTTAAAGAAGTCCGTACAGCTCGGGTACAGGGAGAAGATCTGCACTGGGTAGGAGCAGGAATCACCCTGGTGTAGAAGCCCTGTGTACCAAAGAACCAGTAACTCTAGGAGCAATCCCACAGCACAGCTTCCAGAATCTCCACAAGGGGCAGTTGTAAGAGCCACTACATTCAGGGAAGCCCAAAGCCATGACTCCCTATTAGGTATTGATAATTCTCCCTCTCCAGATGCAATTTACCAATCAAGTTATTTTTAACATAAGCAATACTGCTAAGCAACAAACACTATTTTTGTTTCTTGGGAAACAGCTAGAGTTAACCAAATGTCACATTCTCATCAAAGGGTTCAGGGCTTAACTCTTCACCCCTAGGTATCATATCTCCTGTAAGACAAAAATGGATCAAGTTTTGTTTTCTCCTGACTTTTTAAAGTCACAATTGCCTTCAGTGAAAGACCCTTTTGGAAATACAAGCACATCTGAGGGGAACAAAATTGTTTTCTATGTAACAGCTGGAGTGCACGGTTGATGTAGAAGATGGTTTGATATATTTTTTTCTTCACTATCTTCCTCCTTCCAGTGTTATTTGCCTGACTCAACCTATGTCAGAATGTGATAAATTGTTCCTGAAAATAATTCAGCCACTCCCTTTACATTTATTCTATCTTATCTAAATTGGTTTCATTTGGTTCTTTCCTTTCCACTCTATAACTCAACAGCCAAAGACATACTTCAAGTATATTCACCCTACAGATAAAGGCGGCAGAAATAGGAGACACAAAGGAAATTTTTTTAAGTTAAAAATTACCTGTGATATTAGGAAACACACCTGACAGACTACTTGTACAACAGATAATAGAAACAGGAAAATCCTAGAAGCCCTCAGGATCATGAGGCCTTTAAAATCTCATGCAAAGGGAGAGAAAACACACAAGTGTGAGAGAAATAATTCTTCAGAGTCAATATGGTTCAAATGCTGGCTCTACCATTACCTTGAGTAAATCATTACTTTTCTTGAACCTTAGTTTTCACATCTTTAGAATGGGGATAATTATAGTTCTCAGCTCGTAGGGTTGAGCTGGAAAGTATACGGGATAATGCATGAAAGTGCTTAGCATAGTGTCTCTAGAGTCCCTTGTCAGGCCAAGTCAGACACCTGGAGTCTTCCTAGATTTCTCCCTCCCCACTTCTCTGTAATCCAGTCCAAGTGTCCTATCAACCTGACTGCTTAAATCCCTCTGGAATCTTGCTCCTTGTCTTTCTAATTAGCACTACCTTGCTCATGTCCTCACTCCTCCCTCCCTGGATGCCTGTCCTTGCCGCCCTGGTCTCTGGTTCTTGCACGCTTACCCAGATGCAAGCCACTGACCTTCCCATAAAGTACCAGAGTGATCTTTCTATAGTGAAAATTTCTGGATTAAAAAAAAAAATCATTCCTTTAGAGGTGCTTGGTACTTCAGTAGGTTAAGCGTCCGACTCTTGGTTTTGGCTCAGGTCATGATCTCAGGGTTGTGAGATCAAGCCCTGCATTGCGCTCCATGCTCAGGGAGTCTGCTTGGGATTCTCTCCCCCTCCCTGCCCCTCTGCCCCTCCCCCACCTTGCACACACTCTCTCAAATAAATAAATAAAATAAAAATCATTCCTTCAGTGGTGCTTCACAGCTTTTAAAAGAAAGTCCCAAAAGCAAGCACATATGGTTATTGCATACTTCTCTAACTTCATCATTTGTTAGCACTCCCCTAAACTGGTCATTTTGAATGTTTTTGGTATACCTTTATCAGTTAAAAAAGAGAGCATGCACCCCCTATAAATATGTTATTTATTTTAATTATATACATGTACAAATATACTAATAATATATATATTATAAAATATATTTACCAAATAGAAATTTTACAGGGTGAGAAAAACAAACATAATGGGGTGAGGGGTGCTCATATTCTCTTTGAGCATCCTGATGATTGTCTTGCATACCTTCCCCTCAACTCCCACTGCCTACAACTTCAGTCTCATATTATCTGTCAATTCCTGCATCAGTTCTCTGATGTCATATGCTTTTTATACTTACTAGGACTCTCTCTGCCTAGAACAGTCATTCATCTATCTGGCCATTCTCCTTCCTTCCTCCTTTCCATTCTCTCTTCCACCTACCCCTACACCCAATTCTACCTAGCTACTTCCTTTGTACTTGGTAAAACTCAGCTTAAGTATCACCAACACTCAAAGTTTTCCCTGACCCTATCACCTACCACTCAGATGGGACAGGATTCCAAATTATTACATTAAAGGACACTGACAGAGACTGTAAAAAAAAATTAATTTCAGGATATTATCACTTGGGAAAATAAGTATTTGGCCTCATGAAGACAGATGGCCAATAATACTACCCAGGATGTCGTGTGGCTGTACATTCCTTGGCCTGCCCTTCATGACAAAGATGCAGATGATCAACAGGCAAGTTGACTTTCTACCACCACTACCCTCTCCTTTCCAAACCAGGCCTTATTTCATCTTCTGGAAGAACCTTTCAGGTGTCCTCATCACCTCCACACCTGGATCCCTCCAATCTACTCTACAAAATGCTTTGAAACCCTGAATGATTCCCTATTACTTATATAAATCCAGCTTCCTTAGATGTGACATTCAAAGCTCTCTCCATGAGAGTGAGGCTCCAACCTTGCATTCTAGCCTTTTCCACCACAGCTCCACTGCTTAGATAACCTGAACTTCAACCAAAAACATGTAACTCACCTCTCCAGAACATGCCTGCACTGCATCTTTCTGCCATCTCACAACATTTTTGCTCAGATCTTTCCTCCACCTAGAATGCCCCCTCCCACGTAACTCTGTCTCCTAGATGATTTTGGAACCCCATCCATCTTTCAAGACCTAGGCCCACCCCCACCTTCTGGTTGAAGTACTCCCTGATCCCCAGAGTTGAACTGCATCACTTTTCATAGTTTAGAGAAAAATAATACACTTTATCCTCCTTGCAGCTGTCTTTATATTGCTTTTACAAATTCAGCCCCAGTGCCCTGCTAAGATCACTACAGCCAACAATAGATCTGGGGATTCAAGTGTAGGTCTTCAGATGTCAAATACCCCATGTATATACCATACCACAGATGCTACCTTCCAAAATTTCTACCTCTTATGCTCCCAGAGTGCTCTATAATTTCAACAGCACATTAATCCCAGCTCTGTCTTATGTTAGGGTTGGTCCTTTTGGTGAAGAGACCTCATCTTGTTCATCCCAGTAACCCCCAAACGTACCTGCTCTGTATATATAGCAGGTGATCAGCCATGAGGCTGAATTTAATTCACTTAAAAGTCTTTTTACTCTCCTTCATGTCAAGTTCCAAAATTGCTGAAGTCAGCACTCCAGAAGCAGAATAAGGGTGGAGGTTGAGAGTGTGGGCGCCTCTCTGGACAAGTTATTCAATACTTCTAAGCTGGAGTCTCCTTATTTGTAAACTAGAGATGATAATTATGCCTTCTTCATAGGGTTCTCGCGAGGATTAAATTAAGTCATGTACTTCAAACAACAACCCAGGGCCTGGCACATGGAGGAATACCAGCTGCTACTGCATGTCTATTTTATGTCCCGCACATGGGATTGCAGGGCCAAAACTTACTGATTTCCTGAAGTAATTACTCCATATAACCAAGAGAAATTTCAATGATGTGTAGTGTAAATTAAGAATGCCAGAATATGTACTTAACAAATTTTATAAAGATCTAGCTGAAATCTTTTTAAACAGCCCAGTACATAAAATCCCCAGTTATCTAGGAAATTAATTTATACTGAATGACTCAGTTTATATTATGTGAAGTAACTAGGTATTTATACTACATAATAATAATACTATTAGAGGGTATACAAGTGAAATGAGTGTAGGAGGAAATATATTTCGTTCTTTCTTTATTTCTTCCCCCTTAACTTCGCAGTGACTACTGTTTTTCCTAAGCTAAGCACTAGGTGCTAGTCAAAGGCTTTAGCAACCAGAGGTGTCTGACTCTTCACCCTGAAGGCAAAGAGCAAGCAGGGGGCAAACTCATCGACACACATTCAATCTTCAGGGAATTTAGAAATTCCCCAATCTAATGAAAAAAATACAAAGACGTTTACTGACACTGACAGTACACTGGAATAAGCCCCCAAGGGGCTGCTGTGTCAAATCCTGCCAGCGTGGAGCCACCACACCTGAATGAGTTACACTGACTCACTGCAGACATGTAAGTGAGCTGGAGGGATGCAACAGGGCATTCCTCTTACTGGGTCTCAGGGGGCAATGAGAGGATCGTTCCAAGATGCCCTTTGGATCTAAGCTTCACGATTACTGTCAGCTCTCCTGGGCGCCACCAAGCACAGGGAGGGCAGAAGTGTGGCCGTGAGCAACCACAGAAAAAGCAAAAGCGAACTTTGGAACGCAGTTAAACTCGGAGAGATCCGATTAGTTCGGCGGAGTTAAGCCGGCAGCCAGAGTAGGCTAGGAGGGGCCGGCAGGGATAAAGACCTTCTACCCTGGACTCGGAGTTCTGAAGCTGCTCTCACCCGCCATAGCTATTGACCCCGGCAACACGCACACCACAGACAAGGGATCTGATTCGGGGTTGGCCGTGGCTTCCAGTTACCGTCCCAAAATAAACAAGTTAATGCAAGCGAGGTCCCAGTCTCTGGGGAAATGGATCCTCTCACGATCCCCTACTGGACACCACTAGCCCTTCACCCGGCCCACTCTGGTCCGCCCCAAGCGGCCGGAGCTGCAGCGGCGGCCGGATGGGGTTCGAACCCAGCCCCAGCCGGGCCTGGCTGAGCCCGGGGATGTGCTCCCCCCAGGGGCCCCAGCTGCGCCCTGCGGGGCCGCTACTCAGAAGCAGGCTCTGCACCCACCTTAGTGCTGGGATCCGGGTCGGAGCAGCAACCGAGGGCAGCGTCGTCCGTGAGGCCGCTGGACGCGGGCTGTGGTTCTGCCATGGCCGCACTGCTGTTTCACAGACGACGGTACGGAGGACACCACAAGCACCCACACTCCGCCCGGCCGGGGTGCTGCCTTTAACTCGCGACGCCGCGAGGGCGCCGCGGGGAGGGCGGGCGCTGATTTCGAGCCAATCGCTGCGCGGAGAGCAAGTTGGCTCTCTGCTGATTGGGTCCCAATGAGTCAGCGCCCCCGGCCGCAGGACTCTGTGCCCCAAGACTACAACTCCCAAGGTGCCTTGCACTTGGGGGGGCCGTGGAGACAAAAAATCTTGCCGACTGGAAAGTGTGATTTCTCTGTATTGCTTGATGACCTAATTTTGTTTCTGTTTAACTATTAAAGTTCAGGAAGCACCCATACCTCTCTGCTGCAACTTGGTAGGAAATTGGAACCTGATGGAAAGAGGATTGGGAGCTATCCTTTTTAAAGTATAAGGATCCAAAAGTATTTTCTCAGTTTAAGCGGTACAGGATATTCAAAACAACTCTGACTTAGTCAAAAATCCAGGTTCCAGTTTTGGTTCCACTATTTATTCGCTATAGAAGCATGGAGTAATTACTGACCCCTCTCTGAGCTTTCTTGCAGGATTTTGGTGAAGTTCAAATGAGATTTAAGTCACGGTTTCACTACTTATGTCTTACATTAATTTTGCTAAGGCACATATCTTAATTGTGTTCCTTGGAACACTTAGTTATCACTGTTCTTTGATGACTGACACATAGTACATGCTCCATACATATTTCCTATTGTTAGAAGACGAAATGATCATAATTGGTGTAAATATAATTTAGAAAAGGGCTTTATGTTAATAAATTAATGAGGAATGAGATTTGACAAAGAGTTTTTAAGTGAATGGCAGGGTCTATGTAAATTAGCAAGAAGACAGATGCATGTCACGAATTTTGGTTGCAAGAAGTTGGGCAAAATGGGAGTTTATCTGGCTCACCTAATCAAACTGAAGCAGGACAGGGATGCGTCTGGTACCAAGCATCTGGCACCAAACATCTAGCACCAGGCACCTGGCCACCACCAAGATGTCTCCATCTCTCATCTCAGTGTCTTTCTTCATCTTAACTTCATTTTGTCAGACATATTTATTTCACCAGTCTAAAAACTTGGAGATCTCAGCCTCTTAGCCTCTTACCTGAGAGAGAGGGACCACTTCCCTGAATCCCAGTTTGATAAAATCCAAGGAGGTGCTGTGATTGGCCTGGACTAGGACCTGTACTTATTCTTGTGCTCAGGGCACTGTGATTGGCAGCCAGGGTTAGAAACACCTGGTTGAAGCGGGAGAAGCGGCAGCTCCCCAAAGGAAGACAGATGCTGTTCTTATAAGAAGAGAATACACAGTGTAGTGGACCCACAGAACTTCAACATGGAAATAGACCTTAAAACTGCTAACCCAGGAACTGAGGCAACACAAACCCTCTGTACACTGTGCATTACCATTAAATTTTTCCATTGGAAGCCCAGACAGAAGAAATTTGTCTGAGATATTTTACTGAAAAGGCATCCTAAACAGTTCTTTTCCTCTAAGCCTCTGGTGAACTTCCCAATATATGAGAGATAAACCATATAAGTGGATGGGAAGACTCAATATCATAAAATATTGATTTGCAAATGAATCTATTAATGTAATGCAATTTAATAAAAATGTTGATGGGTTTTTCATTGAACTGAATAAGCTGGTTCTAGAATCTATGTTTATTTATTTATTATTTATTTTATGTTTATTTATTTATTATTACTTATTTATTTAAAGATTTTTTAAAAGATTTTTATTTATTTATCAGAGAGAGAGAGAACACACAAACAGGAGGGAGGGGCAGAAGGAGAAGCAGACTCCCCACTGATCAGGGAGCCTGATGTGGGGCTTGATTCCAGGACCCCACATCATGAGCTGAGCCAAAGGCAGATACTTAACTGAGCCACCCACGCATCCCTAGATTCTATTTTTAGATTCCCCAACTAGGCAAGACGCATTTGGAGAATAAATAAGTAGGGGAACCTACCCTTCTAGATAATAAGATTTACTATAAAGCTACAGTAAGATAGTGTGGTAACGACACTGGTGGGTATAAAACAATAAATGGAAACTGTGGTAGGCAGCTCTAGATGGCACCAATAATCCCCACCTCCAGATATTCACATTCTTGTGTTACCCCTCCCCCTGAGTGTGGATTTAATGACTCACTTCTAAATAATAGAATATGGCAGAAGTGATGGGATATCACTTCTGAGATTGGATTATATAGTGATTCTTATCTTGGGAGCTCTTTCTCACTTTGTTCTTCAGTCTCTCACTCAGAGGGTAAGCAAGCTGCCACATTGTTTTTTTTTTTTTTTTTTTTTAAGATTTTATTTGTTTATTTGACAGAGAGAGAGAACACAAGCAGGGGGAGCGGCAGGCAGAGGGAGAAGCAGGCTCCCCGCTGAGCAGGGACCCCAATGTGGGGCTCGATCCCAGGACCTTGGGATCATGACACCAGCTGAAGGCAGCCTCTTGACCGACCCAGGCGCCCCAAACTGCCACATTGTGAGCAACACTATGGAGAGACTCATGTGGCAAGGAACTGATTGAGGTCTCTTGTCAACAGCCAGTGAGGACCGGAAGCTGGCCAACAGCCACTTAGAAGTGGGTCCTGTCCCAGTATAGCTTTGAGGTAACTGCTGCCCTGGATGACCCCTTAGTTTTGACCTTGTAAGAAACCTTGAGCCAGAACTATCCATCTAGATCATTCCCAGATTCCCTAACCTACAGAAACTATCAGATAACAAATTTTTGTTGTTTTTAGCTGCTAAGTTTTGGGATAACTTGTTGTGCAGCAATACACAACTAATATACACACACATACAAAAACTTGATATCTACCAGAACTAGTACTACAGATCAGTCGGGGAAAGATCAATTTTTCAATGAATGGTGTTAGGACACCATAGTTTATATGAAAAAAGAAAAGAATTTTCTATTTCATACCATAAAGAAAAACAGAAGTTCAAGTGTATTAAAAATATAAATGTGAAAAAGCAAAACTTAGAAACATAAAGAACAAAATATCAGAGAATATCTTTATGAATTCACGAGTCGGACTCCGTGCTCAGCAGGGAGATGCAGATGTAGTTAAGGATCTCAAGGTGAGATCATCCTGCATCTACAGTGGACCTATTACAGGACAAAGAACTAGTTCCCTCATTGTATTTTTAGGGTCTTGGGCAGTCTAACCATTTACTGTTTTATATATGCTACATGGTGTTTTCTTTCTATTAAGCCTCAAGAAAACTCTCCGGATTGTGTATTTTTCCCATATCTCAGGCATCCTCAGGCAGTGTTCTATGCACCTAGTTTTCTGCCAGAGATAATGAAATTATTACAGTGCTACAAACCGAATACTGCAATGCACATCTTTATTTTTTTATTTTAGATTTATTTATTTTTTTAAGAGAGAAAGAGCACGGTCACCCACGTCAGTTGGGGGAGGGGCAGAAGGAGAAGGCGAGAGAGAATCCTCAAGGAGACTCTCTGCTGAGCGTGGAGCCTGACGCATGGCTCGATCCCAGGACTCCGAGATCATGACCTGAGCTGAAATCCAGAGCTGGCTGCTCAACAGACTGAGCCACCCAGTGCCCCTGCAATGCATATCTTTAGAACAAAAACTCTGTCTATATTTAGCACAGTATTCTTTCCTTCCTTCCCTCCCTCCCTCCTTTCTTTTCTCTTTCCTTTCTCTTCTTCCTTCTTTCTTCCTTCCTTCCTTCCTTTCTTTCTTTCTTTCTCTCTTTCCTTTCTTTCTTTCCTTCTTTCGTTCCTTCCTTCCTTCCTTCCAAGTGGAGCTTGAACTCATGACCCTGAGATCAAGACCTGAGCTGATATCAAGAGTCAAATGCTCAACTGACTGAGCCACCCAGACACCCCAGCACAGTATTATTTCTTTAGAATATATTTTCAAAAGAAGACTTTGTAGGTTAAGGCACATGGATATGTTTAAGGCTCTTTAAAGGATATAATATCCTGTAATTTGTTCCTTATTACATAAGAATATGTAGATATACCTCCTACTGGGAAGATGGCAAGGATTAAACCATAAGTGCCAAAAATAGATGATGAGACCAAAAAAATGGGCCAGAGAGAGACCCTTTATTACTCACAGCCCAACAAATAGCAGTTCTGGCCCCAAGTACCACTGGGCAACACCATGGGCCCACATGCAGGCAGTGGACTGGGAGGCAGCTAAAGAATCCAAGACTAAGGGCTCATCATCTTTTATAGCAAGCAGTAAACAAGCCAGGGCCCCTCCCTTGGGAAGTGAGCAGGTGTTCCTTAGTCCTGCTGTGATTGCTGTCATCTACTTAATTGCCTATACACTAGCTAAAGAAACAGCTCAGAGTCAGAGGACAGTTAGGTCTTGCAGTTTGGCAAACTTTGCAAAGTGTGCAGAGGTCCTGTGGGCCTCATAACTTCATACTGCATAATTGCTGTATGGTATTTCTTAACATGGATAGAATGTGTTTAATTTAACTTTACATGTGATTTTTATAATCATCGTTGGGCTTCGGTTTTGTTTTGTTTTGTTTTGTTTTAATCAGTTGGCAGATCTTCCAGCCCTCATTTTAGACTGACCTGCTCTATATTCAAAGATTGACTTTAACCCCTAATTAAAACTGACACCAGGCACACCATTTCAGGGAGTTACAAGAAAAACAGAAATGTACTGGAAAGGGAAGGGAGGGTGGGCTTTGAAAAGTTTTCTTCAGTCTGTTCTCCATATTACCAGTCATAGGTTTCTGAGCAAATTCAACAGAAAAGATTTAATATTCTCAAGTGAAACACTAAGACTTTCAACAAGTGAAACACTAAGTAACTTCAGAACTTCATAGGTTTCTGAGCAAATTCAACAGAAAAGATTTAATATTCTCAAGTGAAACACTAAGTAAAGACTTTCAACAAGTGAAACACTAAGTAACTTCAGTATTCAGACCTATAAAGGTCATAGGGGCACTGGACTGACTCAGTGGTTGGGGTGGAGCTTGGAACTCTTGATCTCCGGGTTGTGAGTTTGAGCCCCACCTTCAGTACAGAGACTACTTAAAAAAAATTTTTT